ACATTCCATGAACCTACATTCAAAGATAATTATTTACCCACCAACTTTTACAATGCCAATCAAACGATTGATTAATCTAACACATCTCTGGAAGTACTTGGGATATGTGTGTGTGTATCCTATGTGTATATTTGTATCCGTTGCATGTGAATTGTATCTAACGAATTTTCTAATTTCATTTTTTACTTGTTTATTTTTACCAAATCAGCTTTAAAACCGATGAAAATGAATCATGCACGTGTTTAAAACATAAAGGTTTGTGTGTCATCGTTTAGACTTAATATTTTTTCACTATTGATCAATATAGTTTACAAAACAGTAATCAGCAGTACCGATTGCCTTTGCTAGTGGTCCTGTAACAGTATGGCGTCTACATTTCTAAATTGCCTAGCTACTTAAGAGTATTACATTGGTTTCAGATATGTAAAGACATATTTTGCTTACAACAAAGCTTTTCAATCAAAGTTGCACTGTCACAGTTACGATAGGTCATTCCAGAAGTGTTATGGTAGACATATAGAGGCTATCTCATGCTGTGTCCCTTATTTTGAGTTTTCACACCTCCCTACTCATTGGCGCTTGCTTCTTTAATGAAAATTGTGAGTGACGAGTGCTACCGGTTGAGCGGGATATGCTTACCCCTTTCTGATGTCATCACTGATGTTAAGTGATCCATTCAATAATTTGCATCATTAATGTGTCTTTTACGCTCTACGGAATCTGTTTGGGCAGATATTCGCGACTGATTATTCTAAGGCGGTTTTTTTAAAATTCGTTTTATTTTGAAAATGCTCCATCTTACTAAACTATATTTTCATCAACATATTGTCATAATTTCACAAATGGTTACAAGAACTGGTGGTGATATGATTACTATCAATTTTAGTGTTATAATTATATTCCGTTGAGAATATGTCTTCGATTGAGTGGTTGATAATTTTTTTTAAATTCAAGATCATGTAAATATTTAGGGAAAACTGCAGCATATTTGCTTGAGGATCGTTTGGATAACGGGACATTATAAATATCTGTCTCACGGAAAATAAGCAAAACACTCATAGTCCCCAAAACGTGATAGTTTGCCTTGCGTTTAACTGAATATTTGAAACGTCTTCAACATGATGGAATGTTCGTTGAAGGAAGAAGAGATACAGAGAAGTATACACAAAAATGCTTCTGGAAATATTCCATTTGTGTTTAGACTATACACTCAAAGAATAGGGACGAGCCTTTGTGACACAAACGATTTGTTTAAATCAATAGATGTTTTGTTATTTATTCTGGACCAGGTCGGAATGTTGTTCATAACTTTATATATTCCATTTGGGAAATAATCTTATTAATAATAATTAATTTTAATTCGATGTTTAATAGTTAAAATATATTTACAAAATTTGAAAGTATGACATTTCAATATGGTAATGGTTTCTACTACTGCGGTCGGTGATAGTATTCAAGGGGGTGTTTTAAGCTTTGTATAATTACTATCATTATTATTGTTATTTCTATGATGGCAATAAGAAGAACGTGTATTTAGCACCAGAAACATGTTCAATGCACATATTACCCAGGTCCACGTATCATTTAGCATTATATTAATTAAATATTCATTTTTTATGCAAGTATAATATTCGATTAACAAACAAAATACTAATGTATAAGTGTTACTACCCCAGGAGAAGAGATATTCTTCATGTGCACTCTGTCACTGTTAAGTAATGCATATTAGTATGTCATATATAGTTGCCGAAGTACAGTTATCCACAGCGTAGACTAACACTTAGTCAATGAAAACATGTCTTTAAAATATTTATTTTCGAAAGAACCTTTCCTCTTCTACTGTTTTCATATGTGGATGTTGAATCAAGCAAACTAGACTTAGTTAGTTTGATCTAGACTTGCCCCTGACTTTTACTAAAAATACCTAAAATTCGAAAGTCATGGTGCAGGACTACCCCACGGGGTTAACTAAACTAGTTCTATAAAGTAACCATCAAGCCTCTTAGTTTAACGGGCTAAAAAGGTTATGTGCTGGAGCTAATGGGGTGATTATGACTAATTTCAGCCCCAGAAATAAAGTTATCTTAATTAAAAACATATCTAAAAAAAAGAATCCTAATGGAACCCACAACAATGCTTCATGTGGCAATGTAGACTTGCCAAATCATTCTAGACTTACTTGGATTCCTTTAAACGTATTATCTGGGAGAAAGACTAAAAGTGATTGTTTCTTAAAGAAATATGTTCTAGTGTCTGTATAAGAGAGACTAGAAGGCATAGTGTACAAGATAAGCTCTCTCTCTCTCTCTCTCTCTCTCTCTCTCTCTCTCTCTCCCTCTCTCTCTCTCTCTCTCTCTCTCCCTCTCTCTTCATCAAACGAGTGAGTGAGTGAGTATGGTTTTACGCCGTTTTTAGCAACATTCCAGCAATATCATGGCGGGGGACACCAGAAATAGGCTTTACACATTGTACCCATATGGGGAATCGAGCTCGGGTGTTCGGTGTGACAAGCAAACACTTTAACCACTAGGCTACCCCACCGCTCCTTCATCAAACGGGAAATAGATATGTGTAATTCAAATGAATTGTTCAATAAATATAACAAGAAGGAGATTATTACAGAAAAGGCTGCGCTGAATTATACATGACAAGACCAACCAAATACCTTCATCTACTTTCCTTCATCTACAAACGAGAAGTAGCAGGAGAAACTCCACACCTGTGATACGGTCATTAACCAGGTGTGTCATTTTATCACTCGCTAATCCCGGGTATTGCATATACGACGGTTGTGTTGGAAATATATCGAATTTTCACCTATACTTTTGATCGAGGTACCGTCAATCCCGTGACAATGCGTTACAAGCATACCCAAGTCAGTACCTCACACATATAACTCAACATGCCGACATCGCGGGGCCTTGCCTACCCAAGACTTAATTTGTGTGTCTTTGTTGTCGCTGCCTTTGATGTGTAGCGGACGTGCGGGCTCGCTGTTTGGACAGCTCATCGAAGGTATTAGATAGGGTACAGGCTATGTGTGGCCTGTAGGGTGGGGGAGGGGAGAGGGAGGGGCAGGGTTGGCGACACAGCCAGGATAATTTGTGAATGAGGTTTAGAATTAGCATGGGAATCAGCTTGACAACTTTATATTGAGTTAAGTCGCTTATCACAACAGTAGCGTTGTCTGGTCGTTACTTGGGCCTTGCCCGAGGGGCCGGTTTGGTCGGGGCCAGTTACTGAGCCCTGTGGGCGTTAAGGAAGCGCTCTCATAGCGCACTGTTTGATGAAACCCCCGCCTTGCTATTATGACATCGACAAATTGGCTAAATTTGGCCAAGGCTACGAGGAAACAGCTACATTACAATACTCTTTTCTGAATATCTGTTCGAATGTGGGATGGAATTTGATGTTTCCGGCAAGAATGTTATGTAATTATTGAAGGGTTACATAATCGCAATTGCAATACTGATATTTGACTTAGGCCATAGGCTGGATCTAAGCTGGACCAAAGGTGAGAAATTAAATAATCATCATATTTAGGCGTTACTGTTATACAATCATATAACGGTAATTGATCCATAACTTTTGATTTTTATGATATGAGGATCACCATCTCATCTGAGGCTGTTTGTTTAAGACACGTTAAAAATTGGAAAAACTCCGTATTTGAATTTAATTTGACATAATTACGGTCTTGTGCTAATAACTCACTCGAACACACTATGTTTTCGGGGGCGGTGGGTTGGCCGTCATGTCATGCCGAGTGTTGATATATTTGATATCAAAAGACACGAGGGTGAGATTTTATTTATCATCCAATATCATTCTTCCAACTTTTTCAATTTGTAGACAGTAATAAGCAGTGTCTTAAGTGTAAAAAGTACTGCTAACAGCTTCAGTAGCAGAGCCATTAGTCATTTGATTGTGACGTCATGGTAACCAGTGACGTCACAATGGTCTGCAAAGCATTGTGATGTAATTTCATTGCAGCGATATCTACAGTGTAGATATCGCTAGATCTCATCCAAGCGATATCTCCTGTGGGAGCCAGTTTTAGATGATAAATTGCACTCACACATCACTTTTCGAAAAGACAGCGTTCGATAATTTCAATTGATGTTTGTTTATCACATAATGCTTCTAAAAGTATTTTTTGTCTTAACCTGCATCACTTCGGGATTTCCTCCCACATCAAACGGACACGTGGGTGATGTAACTGGAATAGTGTTCAAAGCGACGTCTAACCCAATTCACTCACTCACTCTACAGCTTTAAAGCTATGTATCGATAGACATAAATCGATAATAATTGTTTCACATATCAATCATATCAAAACGGTTATACAACTTTAAGGAGTAAGCATGCCATTTGGGAAATGTCCCTAATCATATAACAACGTTAAACATGGAAGCGCGGGAAAGTAGCACTGAGGTTACGAGAACCGGCAAGTCGATACTAATCGCACGTAACGAACTCTTCCGATTGTCGTCGATTTTAGCCGAATTAATGCTGAATGAAGCAGGAAAGCTGCTATCAGTGAATGAACTACGGACGTTATTACTAAGTTATCCCAATTTGGTGGGAGCCGCCATGTATTGTGAGATAATTACACGAGTGTTTGATGCGCGGACCCGCCAAGGGCTGTGTATTTAACGCCATGACGTTATTGTCGATTGTATCAACTCCCTGCAGAGCCTTTGTGTGATTGTATCGGAATCCACTGAGAGAAGTCGGTGTGTGGAGTTCGTCTATTAGCATGTTTCTACGTCGTCGCTACTTCATCATAGCTCAATCACTGTTATCTAATGAGTAAATTAGCGTGAGCTACCGAACGCCAACAAAGCGGGAGCGCCCAACAAAGACGGGATTTAGCGCATTCCGGAGTCACGTGATGTCTCCCACCAATCACAAACCAGTACCGTCGGCTCGGTCCCTTTGAAGTGTAAATCCAATTATGCTAGTGTGTAAACTGGCTGCAAGGCGATTACAGTCCCGCCTTCGCCTGCCCCTCAAATAACAAACCATAATCAGCCCTATTATGCGTGTCAACACACTCGCTCTAAGAAGCATATGGACTGAAAGGATTTAATTTCCTTTTAAACCACCCCGCTATTGATCGTAATTGGCTGGCGGCGAACATCAAAGGAAAAATATCGCGTTTTGATTGGAGGGCGGTAGATCAGAGCCGATACTCGCAGCACTAAGTGTGACCGCCTATTCACAGTGGAGTGAAGAAATTACACACATCGCACGACCATGGCCAGTTGAGGGAGGCAGGCAGTAGACTTTACAATACTGCGCTTGGAGGAGGTTGATACTATCGCATAACTATACAGTCTCCGGTATGGCGGCCGTCCTGCCTCGTCCCCATTCTTATCACATACAGGTAGGTACATCACAACGCCGAAGGTGATACACCTATCACTGGGATACTTATTGTATTTACGTGTGTTGGTGGTATGATATTAATGTACGTGTCCATGTCATCTGCCTCGAGTGCTCCTTGTATTGATAGAGGAGCACTTGATGGTCGAGAATAATTTTCCACTTAGATCGTTATCATCGATGTATTGATATACATGTTTAAGTGCTGTGATTGTTACTAGTAAAGCATGAAGCGTATATCGATATAACACATCTATCAGATGACACTAATTTATTGAAAATAATTCATAATTAAATAAGTATAAACTAGATGTAATCACACAACCCATAAAATTAATAATGCTTTCAAATTATATACATTGAATTGATCTACAAGGATATTAGATAAAAAAAACGATTTTTTTTCATGTTATTTAAGCCTTTATATCATATTGTTATAATGCAACTGTATGTACCTGTATTGGTTTATGAATATGCATACTAAGTATAATATCGCTCTGACAGTTACGTTTGAAACCAGTTATCCGCCTTACCTACATTATAGCTGACTATGCTGCTGGCCGTCTCGTCAGCTGCAGGAGACTCACAGCTGGGTGTGATATGTGTATGTAAGGGCTAAGCAATATGAACCAGTTGCTTGTGTCTCGATATATGGGTGCCAAGTAGTTGGTAAACCCTTTGTGTACTATTGGTATATTTGCTTATAGGTGGTAATGTAACTGTTTAACTAGTAATCATAATAAATAGACATGATTGTAAGCGTTTGCATTTTGTATAGTAAGAACCATTTCAATTAAACCGTCATGTTATAATGTGAACCACAAGCTATGATTAAAAAGTATATTTTGTATCGTTAAAATATAACTTTTAAAATTATTGTCATTGTTATCTTAGCCGGATAATACACATATATAATGTTATGACACTTGTAGTGACGTGATAATGCTGAATTTGCAAGTTCTCTAAGTCGGAATATAATATAATAATGATAATATAGCATATGTCACAAGTATTCCTATGTGTTTAGAACGGATGGGAAAGACAGATGCGATGACAGGGACAATGTACTCAACCCTTGCGGATGATTGAGATGAATTTACTTACCATAAACATACATACATGTACATAAAATATATATTAAGGGACATCTCGGTATTTGCTGTCAGTGTCATTTACACATCCCGATATTAAATCACTTTTTGACAAGACTGTATAAATGTATACAGTTTACAAAGTAACAGTTAGCATACATACTGGGCACGCACATGCTATTTTTAACGGGTAAACATGGATTGGAGCCTACCAAGTTCATGTCGTTCAGAAGCGTTCACCCTAAATTAATATATGGTATTTACAATATAACGTCTCAATTATGTCGAACAGCATCTGTATATTTAACCATGCCCAGTGTGTCATTATCCGATCGAGATAATGAAATTCTGTGGGACTGTTTGTTTAACATGTTGGGGGCTGGGCAAGTATTTGCTTTATGGTATGTCGTTATATTCAAACATAAGATGTTTGATATGTATTGTTAATAATGTTCATAAAGTATCAATAGAAATCATTAACGTGTCAATTTAAATAGTAAAGGTATAAAGTGGGCTTTATATAGATAACGTCGCGGATCAAAATTTGCAATGAATATATGTTTTCAGTGACGCTAAATATGCCCCCAAAAGTTTAATACACGCATGAAATCACGTTTCACACCTGCTTGTTACTTATTCAAACAGTTATATTCAGTATATTACTAAATAAAACTGTCCGTTCCTTAATCCTGAACAATGTACCAAAATATAAATATCCAAATAATGAATAAATAATATTAAAACAGTTTTAAAAGTTGTCAGACCCTTTTCTTGTGCTTACTCATTTTAAAATCCGATTAATGATTCAAGAAAATGTTTAAAACAAATAATTTTATTTAAATATAAATTTTAACTCATTTATCTCCATTTAAGCTCAGATAAGGAGGGGTTGATAATATTCCTGTCTGAGAGCATACCTTGAACATGGTCATTATAATATTTGGGTTACCATGCCCGGAAGGACATGGAGCATTACACCATTTCCTATGTAGTTAACCCAAGAGTGGATGTATAAACTGCCGAGCAAAAGAAAGTATATTCCCACGTTTGATGGTGTCTAGAAATGAAACAAACAAGAAACTGCTATTCGATGGTGATGTATTTGATACGGGTATAATAGTTGTGTTTAGGACCTTGAGTTTGAAGTGTTTCAGCGACTGTTTACAGCCAAGTAACATTGTGATAACGTTTGTAATTTGTTGGTCAAATTCAAAAATTCAATTTGGTTTATTAGTGTAAATGTGTACGTCCCAATTCGTTGTGGTTACGTTATATTCTGAAACCGCTGTATAACATGTAGCCCATCTGTTGCTGAGTACTTTCTACCATCGCAAAACACACACATTGTATTTCATTCTTCTTCTTCTTCTTCTTCTTCTTCTTCTTCTTCTTCTTCTTCTTCTTCTTCTTCGCCCAATTCCAAATCACACGGTAGAGACACGTGAACATAAACACGTTTCTGAAATGTGAATGAAAAAGCGTTATTTCGTCAAAATCGTTTTTCCCCTTTTACTATAATTGCAGTTGATAAGGTCGCATAAGCATGTCATTATTTCCTTTCGTTATATGTAAACATATTTTATGAGGACTTTGAACATCCAATGGACGAGCTTAAGTGTAGCGTTGTGCACAACGCGCTGAAATCTGATAAAACCTGCTTGGCAGTAATTGTTCGGTTTATGACTCCGATGAGAACTTGATATCTTGTCTCCAGACTGTGTCGCACTTAAAGGAAGCATCAAAGTATACAGATTTAAAAAAACGTGTAAGCATTTTTCTTAAATAAAATTGAAAGATGGAATATTTGCCGACATTTGAAAAGTTTAAAGTCCTTGCTGATCAGTGTAGGTAAGAACGTCCCCAGCAGCCATGACTTACTCCTATAACTATCAGGTCTTTGAAAGGCATTTAGATGTGATACACATAAGAAAGAGAATTTACGGATGTCAGCTTCTTTATTATGAGGAACACAACGTTTCGGAGTATATGCTTACTCCTTCATCAGGTGAATAAATGTCATGAGGCAGAGACCATGCCTGATCATGCCTGTTTGAAGAACAAAACCCAAAATTAGCTCCGTGTGTTTTGTTATACTAAATCGAAAAAAATATATATTAATTACAAATGAATTATCATGTTCAGTTTTCATTTCATCACTGGACGAATCAGTCGTTATCCCCAAAAAAGAGCTTTGACAGACACGACAAAAAAATGCAACACTTCCAAAGTCAATGTATGTTGTCTGACCGTGTTAAGTAGGTGCTAAAATATATAATCAGTATCTCCACTATGCTTTGTATGTAACTGTGAAGAGATATGTGTATTTACGTTAGTGCTTTCCGAAGCAGGTAAAGTAATGTTTTTACATACACCTTGCTCGCTGACATCTATGTACTAATGGATGTTTCACTTTATCGGCCATAAATTATAAGATCAAAAATAATAATGGCTTATTTTCTCATAGTAGACAACTAACACGAGCTTTTCATAATGATATATACTTTGTAATTAAAGTTGTTTATTTCAATTCTTTTTTGGAATGTTAGGTGAAAAACAGTATTTAGTTTACGTTATGCTTGCGGTATGACTATTTGTAAAGTGTCAACAGATTAACCACAGCAGGTATCATCTCACCACTCGTTATCATAGAACGCTATACTCCTGTATGTGACTTTATTTAACGTTATTGTCATCATAATAATTTGATAGTACAAAGAAGAAGATGTTTATTCGGTATCAAGGGCCACTTGGCCAAGAGTGCAATACATGAGATAAACATTTTGATTGTACAAAACCAGATATTAAAGCGTTATATACTGGTAGTATTTAGGTCAGCTTTATGCTTTGTTTGTTTGTTTGTTGTTTAACGCCGCACTCAGCAATATTCCAGCTATATGACGGGGGTCTGTAAATACTCGAGTCTGGACCAGACAATCCAGTGATTGACATCATGAGCATCGATCCACGCAATTGGGATCGATGACATGCATCAACCAAGTCAGCGAACCTGACCACCCAATCCCGTTAATCGCCTTTTATGGCAACACGGGTTGCTGAAGACCTATTCTACCCCGAATCTTCACGGGTATGCAATTAAGCGTCAAAACCCTTTTCATATCCAATATAGATCTCTGCATAAATAATATAATATAATTTATAATACGACATTTTTTTCAAAACCAATAAATGCCTGAGTACGACGTATGGTCGATAGGGAAAGGTGTTAGGCGTGTACATGGTATCACGTTAGTTTCAAGGACAGCTGTGACAGTCTCCTGTGACAGTAGTGACGGTCCCCTGTCACAGTTGTGCGTGACTTGTGACACCATGTACGTGTTAAGGATGCGCGAGGACCAGATACAACATCTTGTTAACAGTAAAACACCATGTACCCTACATGTTACTTGCGACAATGTAGTCCAAGCAAACCCGTCGTTGGTCACTATGAGGTAAAACATGACAACGTTCCTCAACCCAATCAACATGTAGGAAATGTGCATACAAAATGTCATCAGATGTGAAAAAGGGCGTGTAGCCACCCCCAGCCCTCATTCCCCTTTTTGGTCCGCCACTGATCACTCGATATTCTCGAGGAAACGAGATTTCACAGTATACAATAGATGTGAAGATCACAATATTTCACTGTGAGCTAAAATCATCACTACGTTTGTACCGAACTATGGATCACTCGATATGTTCGAGGGAATGAGATCACACTGTAGATATACAGGCCACAGGGAGACACGTGTTCAAATGAATTTTACTGTATCAATTATATGTATGTCATCGTCATAAAGTGGGAGTGAATCTTATTTTAAGCCAAAAAGAGGGAGGGAATTAAATTTTAATCCGGAAAGAGGAAGTGAATCTTGTTTTAATCCACGGTTAGAAATATTCCAACTTTAGCACCACGTCTTTAGATACTTGGTCTGTGCCAGGAAAACCAATGGTTGCTAGCATAAGCAATGAGCCATACGCTTGACACGTTGACACTCAGTCGACCAGGGGCCAGTTGCACAAAGCGATCTCAGCGCTAAGACTATCGTAAGCCTATGTTAGAGTATGGGAGTTACAATCATCTTAGCGCTAAGATAGCTTTGTGCAAGTGGGCCCTGGTCACCATTGTATCCATTCGATCCTCATAAGCCGGTTCTTAGGACATTCATGGGTTACTGGAGACCTCTTCTACTCCGGAACCCCTAAGGGATATATTATAAGATGTAAGGACTGATGTGATCAGTAATTTTAGTGTATCATGCTGATGTTGTCTCAACAGGACTGAATCAAAATATATAATTCACATCCATAATTTCCGCCGTCACATGAAGTGGTTTCCGCTTATATAATGTCGAGGGTGCTGCAGGACTGTATCGTATATATTGCCATCTTTGTATGCTGACGTCTGATTTTTTGTTTGTTCTAGGACCCCTGTGAACATCCGATGGCGATGTTGCCGTGTAACCGTCTCCGGTCGGGTCTCCACGACATCCACAAGCCCCTCCCTACCTTCCTACAGCTTCCGCCATCATGGACGACCTCCCATTGTCACACAGCACCGGTCTTCACGGATGTGACGTCACAGCACGTGCAGATCCAACATCCGGTGGCTACCATGAGCGGAAGTCTGCGAGCTCCGGCCCAGTCTCCCGTCACGTCACATCCTTTCAACTACGAACTCTACCAAGCCAGATTAATGCAACAGAACTTAATTGCTGCAGGACATACGTTTATTGCAACCCCACAAGTGACCATGGCGTCAGGACCCGTGTCTCCCCTCCCTCCCCCAACACCCTCCAACATCCCAAAACAGCTTTCCCCACCCCCTGCGTCTGAAGCGGAGATACCCTGGTGGAGTGTACAGACCCACACCCCGGGGCCAAACCTCTCCCCAGAAAGACTAGCAGTGTCATCGGGTCTTGTGTTTCATAGCTCCGAAATGCAAATGGCGTCTGTGCTACATGGGATGAAGACTGCGGGTGGAGTCGCTCCTACAAGACGTTGTCGTCGATGTCGCTGTCCAAACTGCCAGAACAGTGGCAACTCAGGCAACCCCGCCAAGAGGAAGCAACATATCTGTCACATACCCGGATGTGGGAAGGTGTACGGGAAGACATCCCACCTAAAGGCCCACCTGAGGTGGCACACGGGGGAACGCCCATTTGTGTGCAACTGGTTGTTCTGTGGTAAGAGTTTCACTCGGTCTGACGAGCTTCAGCGTCATCTGCGGACACACACAGGGGAGAAGAGGTTTGCTTGCCAGGAATGCGGAAAACGGTTCATGCGCAGTGACCACCTCAGCAAGCACGTGAAGACGCACGAGAACAAGCGCGTGAAGAGTACGTCGCGCGATGACGACGCCAGTGACGTTTCTGATGATGAAGACATTGACGTGGATGTGGAATCTGATTTTTCCTCGGACAATATAGAACTTGAGAGAGTGGATGAACAAATTACCTCCCTTGATTCCCCTGCATTGTAGAACCAGTACATGCATGGACATAAAAAGTGCTTGTTATTTCTTTTGGATTATTCGAAGTTAACCAGTGCTGTTGAACATTTTGCTGAACTCATATCAGAATGCATTGAGACAATTGTCTTTTTTCTGAAAACACCTAGTACTGTTTCATAAACACAGATGTTCTATGCAATCTTGCATATCAAATATATCTTTAAGCAAATGTGTAATCTTGGCTGTTATACATTTGCAATGCGTACAGTTACGTACCGTTAGTCATGAAAGCCCGCTTCCCGAACGGTTGCTGTTGAAAAAACATAACTCAAAGAACATGACTACGTATTAATAGCTTAACCCAAGTGTAATAATCCGAATTATGTCACCAAGAACGGCACTACCGGATTAACGTGATTTAATGTATTGTATATGCATCAGTATTTACAGATGGAGGATGTTCCCGATGGTTTCTTATTAAATATGATAACGAAATGTTTGTTAAATTACATAGATGGATATTTTACACTAGCATTCCAGATACGCACGTTGACTGGTGCACTGTTGACTACGGCACCCCCAGTTCTGTGGTGTTATTCGTATGCATTAGTTGTTACAGGTTTCTACGCTTGTTGGTGTTTGTAACATTGATCTCAGTTTGTACAGTGAAAGCAACGTATATTACATCATAAAAGAATAAAATCATATTGTCGAATATAATTTTGCTGTTCTGTTATTAGACTACGTCTTGTCTCTAATATAAAAATATTATACAGAAAATAATTCTTAAATTATGTTCATAAAATATAATTAATGGAGCCGAGAGACTTCTTTTTTTAGAAATTGTAGTAATCTAGACTTTCCAACTAGTATAGATAAGGATAAGATAGTTGGGAGAACTTTATTACATTTAGGAGCGACGTTTCGATATAGGTATATATGCTTGTCAACAATACTACGTACATCACTTGCTTGATAACGGTGTAAGAGCCTACACCGAAACGTCGCTCCTAATTGTAATAAAAAAAAGTAGTTCATCAATATATATATTTTTTAATTTGAAGTTTACACGATATACGGCTTTTCCATTAGACGAGAGGTCGGCCACATGACCGCGAAATCGACGTCCATAAGTGTATGAATGACACAATTTGACGTTCATACGTTTTTCACGAGACTGTGTTCTTGAAATGACGTAAACACTGACGGACTACTTCCACATTCCTGGGGAAACCCCTGGGATTTCCCTAGCACGAAAACATACATAAGCATTATTTCTGATCATTTAGAACCTTTAATCTTGGTCTCAGCATTTCAGTATACATTGAGAAACGTAAGAGAGCTTGACTGCATGATTGTTCGCGAATTCCCTCGCTACGGCCCATCCTAATGAACAAACGAAAAAATGCACATCCAAACTATCGTCAGTATCGACTCGATCCGCGCCTAGGCTGACATTGATCGTCTCCAGCAATCTATGAATTTACCTTTGTGTCTGTTTGACGCATCTTTATTCACCTTTCAATGATCGGCCATTTGTTCGCAAGCTCCGACGTTCATACAGTTTGGCCCTCACTCAATGAAGGTTCATACTCCAATGAACTCACACAAAGTGAAGGTCAATTCTTAAAACTTATCCTTACTTAGTACTCTCAATGTCTCTCAAAGAAACTATATATTATAGATATATCAAGCCTGAAGTGATGCATGCCACACACGTGTAACACTTTGGTGAAGTCCTAGTGCACGGGTATTGACAAACCAAGAAACCAGCATGCATCTTGGATCGAACTCGCGTCCATAAGTTTCTGACTCACCTAACGGCGATCTGTGGACGGTGATTTGCGAGGCCGGTGACGCCGGTGACGACTTGGCCATGCGTGCCTCCTATGCACTTAGGACTAGACAGCCATCTTCGACTATCCAATATATTCTATCTACCCTATCAGTAACGTCGCACAGTTCCTCTCGCTCATGAGAGCAATTTGACTGGTCGCTTATGTTTAGCCTGTAATTCGAATCGGGTTCAAAACGAAGCCTGGGTGGTGCGTCCAGGTTTATCATAATAGAGATATAATATACTTGAGCCATCGCAACCTTCATCTTTCATCTGGTTGCCAGTTACGTGTTTCATAGTTTGGTCGAAACAGATGTTTCTAAACTTGTACTGGAACAAAGACAAAATTGAATTCGTACATTGTACTCCTGTGAAAATCAATTATTCTAATACCCCCTAGCCCTAGCTCTTTCGTTGCATAGATCTGATATGTTTGCAATGCAAACTTAGTTCCTTCTATATTTGTAGGACCCCTGTTTCTTTTGTTTATCGTTATATGATACTGCCTTGTGTCAAGCTCGGCAATGGGTGAAGAAATTTAGAATACCTGCTTACCAAATGTTATTGACCTGTTGAGAGTTTTATTACAAAACCAGACGGGATCGGGTGGTCAGGCTCGCTGACTTTGTTGATGCATGTCATTGTATCCCAGTTGCGTGAATCGATGCTCGTGATATCAATCACTGGTTTGTCTGGTCCAGACTCGATTATTTACAGACCGCCGTCATATAGCTGGAATATTGCCGAGTGCGGCGTTAAACAACCAACCAACCAACCAACCAACCAACCGACAAAACCAGATCCTTCCAGTTTGGGACATTTTCTACGAACTGCTCTTGGGTAATTTCAGGTCCTGACCTTTGATGATTAATTTAGATATTTAAGAAAAATGGGACCGAATAAATGCAGCCATGGTTAAAACACAGCGCCCTACATAATGGCCTTCAGTGTGATGTTCAGGTTACTGTAATCACCATGAAAACAGCGGCATCACAGAGGGTGTGTCGTAAGAGGCGACTAACGGGATCGGGTGGTCAGGCTCGCTGACTTGGTTGATGCATGTCATCGTATCCCAGTTGCCTAGATCGAAGCTCATGATGTCAATCACTATATTGCCTGGTCCAGACTCGATTATTTACAGACCTCCGTCGTATTGCTGGAATATTGCTGAGTTCGGCGTTTAACAACAAATAAACAAACCATCGTTGAACGTCTTTTGGTATGACGCAGTCAGAGATCGAACCAGTGACCTTCCGCTCTCCGGGCAGACGCTCTAGCCACTACGCCACAGAGGCGGTCAAGTCATATAATGATAATAATTATAAAAAATAGGCCATCTGTATTGCGCATATTTCCACACCACTCAGGGGCATGCTCAAAGCGCTATTATCACCCCGATCAGTGAATCAGTGTGCACTCAACAATCATTCTCAGCTCCCTGGCGAGTACACAACCCAAGCTGTCTGTTAGGCGCTAGAAGGTTAACAACCACATTGCCATCTCATCCAGCCGGGTACCCATTCACTGGAACAGAGGCACATTTTGAACAAAGTCACTTGCCCGAGGCGACACCACATGTGTTACATGTGTTTCTGTGATGGGCAGTGCCAAAGCCCTGGAAACTTTCAGGAACCAAGCTGCCTCAACGCTGATATAAACTCGTGTGCCACTGAAACCAGTGCTTTCTTCAAAGGAAGTCACTGACCCGATTTGTGATTCCGCAACTTCAGTCGTTCACAGATGATCTCTGCCAAGAATTTCTCATCCTCTTCGTGTAAGCACGAGGTTGCAGAATTCATGAAAAAACTACCACCTGAACTTAGTGATCAGAGTGTTATTGCACTTTTTATACCACTAACAGCTCTCATTTCCTCAACAATGCAGGATACATGTGATATGGGGATGTGGCACTCTGATCTGATTATTTCTCAAAGTGGTAATAAACTAAAAACCAATTGTCCAAGCAAGACATGTATGTCTAAACTGCAGGACAAAAGAAAGTATACACCCATGTTTGATGGTGGCTAAACATGAAACAAGAAATGGTTATTCGATGGGGTATCATAGTTGTGTTTTGGACCTTACGTCTGATAATGTTAGTAATGTCTTGGTCAAATCTAATTTGTAAGTGTATACTTACTTTTGCCCGGCTGTGTACTTCAGCCTATGTTAGAATGCCCATATTCAAACAACAGAGAAGATTACTAGCGTCACTTACATGTGGAAACCTGCCTCTCAACACTGCACGAAGCTGAAACATGACGTCAATTACACCGTTAAGTGAAAGACTGTGCATCATGTGGTAACTAATGCTAAGAATGCCATGATCCATTTTCGTGTAAAATGTTCATTCTACAATGAGCTAAGAGACAGATTTTTTTAAATGTATTAAAATTGATGATGTTTTTTTTATAATATTAAACAATTTAGCAAAAAATATGGTTTAAGAACACTGACAGAATCCAATATGACACGTCAAGATGCATACAGCGATTCTGACTGGTCAACCAGAGGTTTCAAATCAAAATAACCAACTCTGATTGAAACAGCTGATTTGACGACCGCAGCGTCAGCTAATAATTATGGCTGCGCGTTCGGTTCCAAATTCTGTTCAGCGAGGTTGAGTCTTCAGGTAACCCAGCTCTAATAAATATCCCAAGCGTGCCTTTATTTGTTTTAAATGATGTTTTTTTTATATAAATATGTTTCATATATCTGCTTATACACCAAGTAAGGAGTCGTGGTTTAATTCATTAATTGTGATAAAGTGGCCCAATGACGAAAGCGTTGGCTGGTCGTTTTGAAGACATGGGTTCGATTTCCCACATGGGTAAAACGTTTGACGTCCATTCATGATGTCCCAATCGAAGTATGACATATTGGTAAACGCGGGCCAAACAAAACTCGTTCATGATCAATATAATCATTTTATCTTACAGGGACTGCCTCTTTCAGTAGTTTTCCTATATTAATGAGCTTTTCTGTATCGACATCTGTGGAAGATTGTTATACATATAGTCAATCCTCAAATTATATAACCAACGTATTATTTTTAAACGGATGCGTTGATATATCGGATAAGAAGTCAAAATACATTGACAAAGAACCCTAGCCGAAGTAGCCATTTTCACTTACACGACGCGACTGATTTACAGATTCGCGTTGGTGGAATATCAATATATGGACGCCAAAGTAGTGAGATTGTGGTAACCGCGTGCCTTTCGTTGCCTTGATGTTATTGTATTGCTAATGGCATTTAGTTAGCAATAAGGGGCGGACGAGTGGCCTAGTGGTAAAAGTGTTCAGTCATCACGCCGAAACCCCGAGCTCGATTATCACATGGGTACAATGTGTGAAGCCCAATTCTGGTGGTCCCTGCCGTGGTATTGCTGGATCATTACTGAAAAAACGAAAACTCACTCACTAATTCACTCGTAAACAACAAGAACATTACTCACACAGTGTTCTTTGTTCCCTGTAGATTGCATAATTATTTAATATAGCGCATCCTGTTGGACCTCTGCTAATTCAACTATGGTATATAATGTCATGGTTCCTTGCATTCGAGTTAACAATGATAATGTTGTATTATGATCTGTGTCGACACTCAGTTTGTCAAGACATTTTCTGTTGTTCACTTGTTGGTTGGTTGGTTGGTTGTTTAACGCCGCACTCAGCAATATTCCAGCTATATGACGGCGGTCTGTAAATAATCGAGTCTGGACCAGACAATCCAGTGACTGATATCATAAGCATCGATCCACGCAATTGGGATCGATGACATGCATCAACCAAGTCAGCGAGATCGACCACCAGATCCCGTTAATCGCCTTTTACGACAAGCATAGTCACCTTTTACGGCAAGCATGGGTTGCTGAAGACC